ATTAATAATCTTATTAATCTTTAAACCTGAAACTCAAACATTAAAACAGAAACAAACTCTAAGTTAAATAAAATGATCTTTAAAGACTGAAGTCCAGATTTTATCTTTAACCAGTTTCAACAACATTATCTGAGCCGGTTCTGTTCTGCAGGTAAAAGTTCTGAGCTGGTTCTGATGCTCCGCCCCCTCACCTTGGTTGAGCTGTGATGGCGCCGTCACCTGAAGGCCGTTAACTGAACACTGAGCGGTGCCGAGCGGCACCAGAGTCACCGTCCCACCCTGGTTCTCAAAGACACAGTGCTCACTCTCCAGATCCAGACCRTGAAGAACTGCAGGGACAGGGACAGACAAGTCCGGACCATCAGAGACGGACCCTAACCTTTGAATCAACAGAAAAAAAACTAAACTTGTAACTTCCTGATGAGGACTAAAGACTCACTGATGTCCTGCTCTGAGGACGCGTCCTCTCGTCCCACAAACGTCCGTCCCTCCTGAAGGACAAATAAAAACATTTAGTCTCTGGACTCAAACATGACTGTGCACTAAAAGGTTTGTCCTGAGGCAGGGAGCCRGGCCGGGCTGGGCCGGGCCGGACCTTCAGGTGGTACAGGATGATGCCGGTGCTGAGGAGGTCGTCGTCGATGCCGATGAGGTGCGGCAGCTCAGAGTCCAGGACCACGCCAATGCCTTCCTTCCTCAGAGCCAGAGTCTCCTCCTGAAACACAACCAAGAGCTTTCAGAACCTGGGTCCGGATCAGAACCAGGGCTCTGATCGGCTTCGTCCAACCGTCGGCTCACCTTCAGGATGTTCTGAGTCTCGTTCCATTTGTTGGTCCATTCCTTGGTCAGCTCCAGAACCTGCAAACCCAAAACAACCTTCAGAGGTCAGAAGATCAAAGTACGGAGGCTCAAGAGGGACAAACATCTGAAAACAAAAAAAAAGCCTGGTTCTGTTTTTGAAAGTCCAAATGGGTCTGACCCGGGCTTCGTTCTGATGCAGCTTCTCCTCCATGCTGAGAGCGGTGGGAGAGTCCAGCAGAGCGATCTGAAGCAGACAGACAGCACGTCAGGAGGAAACTGGGTTTTACTAGACGGCAGGTCTCAGGGGACCTCCACAGACCTGGTTCCCCTGGACCAGCAGGGCCTTGAGCCGGGCGATCTCAGCGCGCAGTTCTCTGATCAGGCGCACGTTGGCGTCCTCGTTGACGGTGGGCTTGTTGATGATGTTCTTGGCTCGGTTGGCGTAGCGCAGCGTGCTCAGCGTCTCGCCGTAGTTCACATCGGCAGGGGAGACGGCTGCGACACAAACACAAACATTCAGGAAGAGGTTTGGTTTCCATAGAAACACACGAGGGGCGGCGGCCTCACTGGCAATCATGATGGTCTTAGCGTTTCCYCCCAGGCTGTCCTTCAGGAGCCACGTCAGGATCGAGTCCCTGTACGGGACGAACACAGTCTTCTTCTTCAGGTTGGTGTTCACACTGTCCTGCGTCATGTCCGCTGCACGGAGACAAACACCAGTTAGAGTCATCTGGACCTGACCCAGGACCACCAGGACCCTAAAACCCCATGAGGTTCTGACCCAGAGCAGAGATGACGTTCCCCAGAGTGACCAAAGACTTGTTGATGTTCCCTCCCTCCTTCAGACGCACGCCGCTGGCTCCGGTGGCGTCGGCCCGCTCGCTGCCTGCCAGGTCCACCAGGTGGATCTTACTGACCGTCTCACACGGCATCTCTGCGTCAAACTTCGCCTGAAGACAGAGACACAGTTTTTATTACCTCGACCTGACTGAACTCKTCAAAAGAAAGAAAAGAAAAAGAAAAACCAGAGCAGATTATTACTCTGACTTCCTGCTGAGATCCAGAAGAAAGTTTGTTTAATGTTCATCATCCCTGTGTTTACTGGTTCATGGGCCAAGGTTAGACTCTACAGACCGACCTGTCGCACTCTACAGACCGACCTGTCCCACTCTACAGACAGACCTGTCGCACTCTACAGACAGACCTGTCGCACTCTACAGACAGACCTGTCGCACTCTACAGACAGACCTGTCGCACTCTCCTGACCTATCTGTCCCACTCTACAGACCGACCTGTCGAACTCTACAGACCGACCTGTCGCACTCTACAGACCGACCTGTC